GGGGACGCGGGGACTGTGTCTGGGTGGCCCCAAAGCCCTGGACATTTCCCTCATGGCCCTGGTCCAGGGCAACAGGCCTGGCCTTTGAGGTTTTGTCCTCAACATAAAGATTCCTGTTGGGAAAATATAGGAAAATGGTCAGGGCCCCTCAGATGTTCAGAATCTTACCTGGCATTTGCTGTGAATAGGTTGTACGTGGGTGGAGTTAGTGTGCAGTTACAGGAGCCAAAAGCCCTTGGAAGAAGGGGAGGAAATGTGGCTGTCCTTGAGCATGTGGTGCCCAGTGGCAACTTTTCTGCTGACTGGAGCCTGGCTGCTGCTCACTACGAAGCAAACTGATCGACATTTGTGGCAGAAAGCAGAGTCGTTGGAAGCACGGATTAATGTCCTGGAGGACGACGTGCGGTGACTGGCCACTCCTGCCTCTCACACCAGGGAAGACGACCAACCCAGTGGTGAGTTGCGGGAAAAATGTGCCTCTCCAGGTGTCTGGCTAGGCTAAGGCCTGGAACCCTGTTCACAGTGCCAACTGCACGGCTACTTGTCTTGTTCGTGTTCCAATTGTAATCCTAGGTGACCACGACAGTTGTCAGGCTCTTTTACGTTTACCTGCCGGTAATTCTGCACCGACTAGGCCAATGATTGAGCTAGGGCTGGGTCTGGTGCTCCCAGAACCCTCAAGCCCATTCACAGACTGGGTCACAAACCCTTCACATGCCAGGCCGGGTCACCAGACCCCTTCATGCAGGTCTGTGAGCTAGGTAACCGGCCAAAAGGTCCCTGGAGCCATAGGTTGGAAAGCATGGCTGTGCTGGGTAGATGTCTGAGGCTGATGCCCACCCGCCTGCTTCACTAAAACTCTCTCTCTCTCTCCCTCTCTCTCTCTATCCCCCTCCCTCTCTCCCTCTCCCTCTCTTTCTGAACACAAGAATAGCAACAAAACTAAAAAGATACACTGGCGCACATGCACACTAACTCCACACACACACACACACACACACACAGACACACACACACACAATTTGCTTACAGTGGATGTGCTAAAACCACACCCAATGGGACCTGAGGCGAGGGGCGAGGGCCCTGACCAAACGATTCTATTTTCCCAACACCAGGCAAGGTCTGTTCTGCATGAGAAATTGAGACAGAAAAGCAGCAGAAACGGGGAGCCTTTGGCTGCTACAGCTATGGGACCTAGGGGTGGATGGTGTAATGTGCTCTAGAGACGATGTAGTAAATGCATGTTGCATTTGTCTGAAGGCAAAAGGTGATGTAGTAAACGCATGTTGCATTTGTCTGAAGGCAAAAGGCTTGAAGGGTGCCACTTAAACCCGATGGCCAGCCGAGTGCTGAATAAACCGGAGAAAAGAGTGCCGCATGCAGATTGGCAGATGACCTGAGGATGGGTGCCGCTGCGGAATCTCAAGTATGTTTTCACCTGGTGAAANCCGGCCCCTCTGAGAGCTGGTGCCTGCCTCTCTAGTCTGCTCACCCTGGTGGCCGACGATGACAGCACTCGGCTGGGGCTGGGGCTGGGGCTGGGGCTGAGCCTTCCCTGTGGCTGTTTTTCCCTGACCCTCCCACCTGACTCTTAGCCTGGTCTCCGGGAGGAAGGGGGAAGCCTGGACCTGGGGCACACAGACACAATCTGACATGTTAGGACAAAGCACCCCCACGCCCGGCGCGCAGAGGCCCGTGTGCACACAGCCTCGGGTGCACAGGACACCGGGAGCTGGGGCTTTCCCGCTGGGCTCGTCTGATCTCCTTCCTCAGGTGGCTCCACGCGCCCCTCCCTACACTTCTGCACTCCTGCGTCGTTGCTGGCTTCTGGTCTTTTCCCTCTGCCGTCCGCACGGCCTGGCTGATCTTTCTAAGCCACCATCAGTCAACAGCCTGCGAGGACCCTGCCTGCAGAGTAGAGCGTAGGGAGCCCATAGCTGCTGGGCAGGAGCAGCCATCTAAGCCTCCCTTGTCCCATCCCAGGAAGGACAGTCCCGTTAAACCAAACTCTCGTTTGCTCCCCATTTAGCTCCCTGGTTCAGCCCAAACCTTTCCCTAATCTCAGGGAAGGCCTGAAGTTGCTCCTGGCTCCAGAGGCTTGGGTGGAAGGGTTTTGCTTCTGCATGGATGCGGCTCCTGACCTTGAGCGATGCCAGACCTTTGCCCTGCAAGACTTTCACCTTCATCACCTTCGCAGGAGGCTGTGGACAGGCCCATGGCAGGCCTGGCCT